ATGACTCCTGTTGTGAATGGGCTTCAGAATGACATGAGTTCAAATCCCCCATCCAACACCAAGATAACTTTTCCAATTGATCTCACCTCTGAGCCTCAGTTTCAAGCAAAGAATAATGGTTTGGACTGGGAAGGTGGCTCAGTGGTAGAGTGCTTGCCTTGCATGCATGAGGCCCACAGTTCGATTCCTCAGCACCACATAAGCAGAAAAATCTGGAAGTAGAGCTGAGACTCAAGTGGTAGAGTGCTAGTCTACAGCTGAAGAGCTGAGGGACAGCACCCAGGCCCAGAGTTCAGGCCCCAAAACCAACCAAAAAGGAAAAAACAGAACAATGGCTTATTTTTGTTTTGTGTAGCAGTGCAGGCACGCACTCTGCTACTAGGTGTCATCCCCAGCTAGAATAATGATAATACTTTAAATTTATTGGAGGGAACTATTTATGTTCATTAATTCCTTGCATCTGTGTAACCAGAAGAAGCAGGCTCCCTTCCACTTTGTAAACGCAGATGCGGGCTTGGGGTCACCAGCTTCATGGGCACACATGGTTTGTACTTGGAGGGGAGGGGCATCTGTGGGCTTATGGGCTCTGCAGGAGGGTAATGGGGGGTGGCCAGGATGCCAGGAGGCACCAGGTACAGGACAGATTGGGAGCTGCCTACATACAGCCCTCCCCCGCCCCTCACCAGAAACCACCCAGCACCAGCTCAGGGCCGGCCCACCTAACGGCTCAGGACATGTGCCGTGTGTGTGGAACGAACCCTTGCACCAGGGCAGTTGGGCAGCAGTCAATCTGCTTGTCCTTTCTCAGGTTTCAGGTTCCAAGCTGCAGCCAAAACAGGAAGAGGAAGTGTAGAGGGGGAGGAGGGAAGACGCTGCTGGGGGCGCCCTGCCTCCCAGGCACTGGCAGGCCTGGGGGCAGCGGCTCTTACTGGGCTTGTTCCAGCCAGCCGGCTGCCTGCACTGCTGCTCAACCCCCTCACCCACATGGACTAAGAGCGCTCAGAATCGGCTTCAGGTCACTGTTTTTCTTTCCTTTTTTTAAGTCAAAATCCTGATGGCATTGCTCCAGATTTACATGAGCTTGAACTGTTTTGTAAACTCCCAGATAAAAAGTACATATCCAGCTGCCCTGGCACGGGTAGCTCATGCCCATAATCTTAGCTACAGAGGAGACTGAGAGCTGAGGATCCTTGTTCCAGGCCAACCTGGGCAGGAAAGTCCCAGAAACTCTTATCTCTAGATAACCAAAGAAAAACAGAAGTGGTCCTGTGGTTCAAAATGGTAGAGTGTTTGGGGCTGGGAAGGTGGCTCAATGGGAGTGCTTGTCTTGCATGCCTGAGGCCCTGGGTTCGATTCTTCAGCACCACAGAAGCAGAAAAGGCTGGAAGTGGCGCTGTGGCTCAAGTGGTAGAGCACTAGCCTTGAGCTGAAGAGCTGAGGGACAGCGCCCAGGCCCAGAGTTCAGGCCCCACGATCGAAAAAAAAAAAAAAAGCTCAGTGACAGGGCCCAGGCCCTGAGTTCAAGCCCTACAATCTAAAAAAAAAGAAGTTCGCATCCTTGTAGGTTGTGGGAATTCTTGGGCAAAAGTGTGTGAATCCTATTGAAACAGCCTGAGAAGTCCCTCATTTCCGAGACCCCATGGTGAGGCAAGGGGCAGTTCCATTTCCAAAGCCATCTCTGGCCAGGCCTGGCTCCTCCAGCAGGAGGATAGAAAACGTGAGGATGTCAGAGACATGGGTTCTAAACTGAGCAGTAATATTAAAGCTCATTTGACTGACGCTCTATTCTGTGCCAGGCACCATTTCACAAGGATTAGTTCGCTCCTCAATAGCTCCTGGAGGCACGTGACATTCCTCACTCCCATTTTAGATGTGTGGAATCGGTAAGGCCAAAAACCCAAAGAAAACTTGCCTGGAACATGAAGCCTGATGAAGGGCTGAGGAGAAAGAGGGGGAGGGCGACTCAGGAATTCCCTGCTGCTGCTGGTAAGATCAATGGCAAAAATTTCAGCATCAGACACCCCTTTCTGAACCTACCACCAGACAGAACAAATGTATTATCCTTACTGTAGAATAACTGGCCACGCACTGATCACACATGCCTGTAATCCTAGCTACTTTGGAGGCAGAGTTCAAAAGACCCCATCTCAACCTGTAGCCGTTAGCAAGGTGGTGGGCACTTGTCACCTCCAGATATGACAGGATGCATAAATAGGAGAATCTCATTCAGCCAGGGCTGGATATAAAAGTAAGACTATCTCAAAATTAACCAGAACAAAAAGACCTGGAGATGGGACTCCAGTAGTACAAAACCTGCCAAGCAAGGACAATGCCCTGAGTTCAAACCCTAATACTACCAGAAAAAGAAAGTCACAAGCCACTGGGAGTGGTGGCTTACACCTGCAATCCCAGCACTTGGTAGGTAGAGGCAAGAGTCCAAGGACAGTGTAACAAGGCAAGACTCTGTCTCTAAAAAATGGAATCACTATTGTTGATGGTGTCATGTTCCTTGGTGCCTGCTGCCCTTGACCCCGCGCTCAGGGGCAGACCTGGGCAGCATGCCCACTACCCGCTTCTCCTGGCCCAGATCTGATGAGCTGGCTTCTTCACATGAGGGTTATTTGCAAGATCTAGGTGAGAAGAGAAGAGCAGGTGGCAGATGCAAACTGTGCCCCTGGTAACCCCTGTCTCCAGGAACTAGAGAGCTGGTACATCAGCCCTGGGGCTAGAGGAAGAAATGATCCTGGGGTTTGCTGGCTGTCCAGCCAAGAAATGGGCACCGGGTTGACCGAGTTGAGTCCATCTCTTCTGAGAAGTGTGGCAAGGTTCCTTGTCAGTGTGTGCGCTGCATTCTTAGAAACGTCCAATGTGTGACGCAGGCAGGGAGAGCCTTCACCCTCCAACCCCTTCCTATTCCCTGTTCCCGGAGGAGATTATGAATGAGGGGCCTGGTTTGGGTATGAGAAGTGGTGGTTGGTGGTGGTTGTTGTTGTTTTTCGGTCGTTGGGCTTGAACTAGGGGCCTAGGTGCTGTCTCTGAGCTCTTTTTTCAAGACTTTGAGCCATAGCTCCATTTCCAGTTTTCTGGTGGTTAATTGGAGATAAGTCTTATGGACTTTTGTGCTCAGGCTGGCTTTGAACCACATTCCTTAGATGTCAGCCTTCTTTTTTTTCTTTTGCCTGTCCTGGGGCTTGGACTCAGGCCCTGGGCACTGTCCCAGAGTTTCTTTGTACTAAGGATAGCATTCTACCGCTTGAACCACAATGCTACTTCCAGCTTTTTTTAGTAGTTTAGTGGCAATAAGAGTCCCACAGTCGGCCCGGCACCGGTGGCTCAAGCCTGTAATCCTGGCTACTAAGAAGGCTGAGAGGGGCTGGGAAGGTGGCTAAGGTGGCTCAGTGGTAGAGTGCTTGCCTTGCATGCATGGCCCAGGGTTTGATTCCTCAGCACCACAAAAGCAGAAAAAGCTGGAAGTGGCACTGTGGCTCAAGTGGTAGAGCACTAGCCTTGAACTGAAGAGCTGAGGGACAGCGCCCAGGCCCAGAATTCAAGCCCCATGATCCACCAAAAAAAAAAAAGTCTCACAGACCTCAGCCTCCTGAGTAGCTAGGATTATAGGCATGAGACACCAGCATTCAGCTGGTTGTTTTGTTCTGTTTTGTTTTGTTGGTCAGTAGTGGGGCCTGAATGCTGTACCTCAGCTCTTCAGCTCAAGGGTAGTGCTCTACCACTTGAGTCTTAGCCCCACTTCCAGCTTTTTCTACTTATGTGGTGCTGAGGAATCGAACCCAGGGCCTCATGCATGCAAGGCAAGCACTCTACCACTGAGCCACCTTCCCAGCCACCCTTCCCCTCCCCCCCTTTTTTTTTTTGGTCAGTTGTGGGAGGCTGAACTCTGGGCCTGGGCACTCTTCAGCTCAAGACTAGTGCTCTACCACTTGAGCCACAGCGCCACTTCTAGCTTTTTTTGGGGGGGGGGTGTTGGTCATGGGGCTTGAACTCTGGACTTGGGTGCTATCCCACAGCTCTTCAGCTCCACAGTGCCATTTCTAGTTTTCTAGTAGTTTTTTTTTTTTTTTTTTTTTTTTTGTCGGTCGTGGGGCTTGAACTCTGGGCCTGGGCGCTGTCCTTCAGCTCTTCAGCTCAAGGTGAGCACTCCACCACTTGAGCTACAGTGCCACTTCCGGTTTTCTGGTGGTTTATTGGACATAGGAGTCTCACAGTCTTTCCTTCCCAGGCTGGCTTTGAACCGTGATCCTCAGATCTCAGCCTCCTGAGTAGCTAGGATTACAGACATGAGCCACCAGCGCCTGGCTCTAGTAGTTTTTATTGGAGATAAGAGTCTGATGGACTTTCCTGCCCTGGCTGGCTTTGAATTGTAATCCTCAGATCTCAGCCTCCTGAGTAACTAGGATTACAGGTGTGATCCACCAGCACCCAGCGACTTCTGGCTTTTTCTGCTTATGTGGTGCTGAGGAATGAACCCAGGGCCTCATGTATGCGAGGTAAGCACTCTTCCACTGAGCCACCTTCCCAGCCCCTTTTGTACGTTTTTATTGGTTTGTTTTTTGAAATTTGGGGGATTGAAGCAAGCACTCTACCACTTAGGTAAACTCAGTACATCTTTAATGTTTTTTAATAAAAAGTATGCATAAATTAATCATTTAAAATATGCATACTATCAAAATTTGATATGTTTGGCACTAACATCATTCCCATTTGGGCGGTATTCACCATGCACTAGGACCTCTCCTTTGTTAAGATGCTTTTATGAACTAATGTGATATCCTGTTTTCTAGAAAGATGAGGCTCAGAGAGGCTTTCCCTTGGGCACATAGCTGGTAGGCTCCAAGCTTGCTTTCTCCACCAATACTGTCTGCCATTTCTCTACCCCAAGCGCGTGGGGCTTTATTATTCCTTCCCACAATGTCCCAGAGCCTGACAAGAGGAGAGGCGAGATTTGATGTTGTCACTCATTCTCCCTATCCTCCCTCCCCTAGGTGGCAATGGTGGAGGTGCAGCTGGACGCCGAACATGACTATCCACCAGGGCTGCTCATTGTCTTTAGTGCCTGCACCACGGTGCTGGTGGCCGTGCACCTGTTTGCGCTTATGATCAGCACCTGCATCCTGCCCAACATCGAGGCGGTGAGCAACGTACACAACCTCAACTCCGTCAAGGAGTCACCACATGAGCGCATGCACCGCCACATTGAGCTGGCCTGGGCCTTCTCCACCGTTATTGGGACACTGCTCTTCCTGGCTGAGGTCGTATTGCTCTGCTGGGTCAAGTTCTTACCCCTCAAGAAGCAGCCAGGCCAGCCGAGCCCCACTAGCAAGCCTTCAGCCAACCCTGGCTACAATAATAACAGCAGTGGTGGCATCACCCCAGGCCAGGCAGCAGCCATCGCCTCCACTGCTATCATGGTCCCCTGTGGCCTGGTCTTTATTGTCTTTGCAGTCCACTTCTACCGATCACTGGTCAGCCATAAGACGGACCGACAGTTCCAGGAGCTCAATGAGCTGGCCGAGTTTGCCCGATTGCAGGACCAGCTGGACCACAGAGGGGACCACCCCCTGACCCCTGGGAGCCACTATGCCTAATTCTTCACACCACTGAGCCCTTCAGAGCTTTGGCCTATGTCCTTCCTTATGACCCTGTCCTGTCAGCCCAGAGGACAGCCTGTGCAGGGGGCTGGGCTGGGCAGAGTGGAGGGAAGACGCTTTTTATAAAAGAAATGGTTGCACTTTGAGACTTTTCTGCCAAGAAAATAAGCACTCCCTGTTCTTCCAGCCATGGGTCTCCCCGCGGGGGGGGGGAGGGGGGAGGGTGAGAATGGTGGAGAGGAGGGGAGACGGATCTCCCCGGGGGGGGGGGGGGCAGAGTGGGAACAGATGCTCTCTTTGTCCCTATGCTACCCCTGTGCCAGTGACACCCGGATGCTTCCTGTTCCGTCTCCACTGCCCTCCCTATTCAACCGTCTAGTGTGTGTGTGTGTGTGTGTGAGTGTGTGTGTGTGTGTGAGTGTGTGTGTATTTGAACACAAAAATATACTCACAAGGGACCCCACCTCGTTGTCTTGATGATTCTGTTCTGCCAAGTATGGTTTCTACTGGTATACCACATCACATAGATGAACATATAAGCAAAGTTGCAAAGTTGTTTTTATTAAATAAACCAGATATGCTGGAGCTCACACCTATAATCCTAACCACTCAGGAAGCTGAGATCTGAGGATTGCAGTTTAAAGCCAGCTCAGGCCAGAAAGTCTATGAGACTCTTTATCTCCAGTCAATCACAGAAAAAAACAGAAGTGGCACTGTGGCTTCAGGGGTAGAGTACTATCCCTGAGCCAAAAGGAGTCCAGGGACAGTGCCCAGGCCCAGGACTGGCAAAAGAAAAAAGGTGTATAACTCAGTGGAAGAACATTTGCCTAGCACGTGCAAAAATTTACATTTAAATATTCAGATGTTTTATTTTTTTGAGCCTACACCAAGGCTTGAACTAAGGTCCTTTCCTTTTCACTGTGCTTTTTGTTCATTATTACAGCTGAGCCACTGGAGCCATGCCTCCAGGCTGGCATTTTTGCTGGAAAGAGAGTCTCCTGCCTGGCCTGGCTTCAAACTACCATCCTCAGATCTCAGCCTCCTGAGCAGGCAGGATTACAGGTGTGAGCCACCGGCACCTGGTGGTATTAGAGTTTTAACTCCAGGCATTTATCACACAGACACTCCAACTCTACTAGGTATTTGATTTATTTATCTATTTTTTGGTCGGTCGTGGGGCTTGAATTCTGGGCTTGGGTGCTGTCCCTCAGCTCTTCAGCTCAAGGCAAGCACTCTACCACTTGAGCCACAGCACCACTTCCAGTTTTCTGGTGGCTACTTGATGATAAGAGTCTCAAGGACTGGGCTGGGAAGGTGGCTCAGTGGTAGAGCGCTTGCCTTGCATGCATGAGACCCTGGGTTCGATTCTTCAGCACCACATAAGATAAAAGAAAAAAGCCAGAAGTGGCGCTGTGGCTCAAGTGGTAGACCGCTAGCCTTGAGCTGAAGAGCTGAGGGACAGCGCCCAGGCCCAGAGTTCAGGCCCCAAGACCAGATTCCCCCCCCCAAAAAAAAAGAGTCTCAAGGACTTTCCTGCCTGGGCTGGCTTGGAACCATGATTCTCAGGTCTCAGCTTCCTTTGTAGCTAGGATTACAGGCATGAGCCACCAGTGTCTAGGCTTTAAGTTTTCATATTTTTAAGGCTTTGTGTGCTAGGGCTTGAACCCAAGGCCTCAAGCATACTAGGCAGGCATCCTATTGTAGCTGTAGGGTTGGGGTTTTTTGTTTTTATTTTTGCTGGTCCGGGGACTTGAACTCAACTGGGCACTGTCCCTGAGCTGCTTATATACTTTTCTTCCTAGGCTGACTTCAAACTATGATCCTCAGATCCCTGCCTCCTGAGTAGCTAGAATTACAGGTAAAAGCCAACAGCACCCTAGTGGTTTTTATCCAAGAAAATGATCTGGGTAAAATACAAGTGGGGTGGGGTCTGGTATTTGTCTCTCTTCCATCCCTTCATCTCCACCCTGTTGCCAGCTTGGGTAGGTCTGGGCCTGGGCCCATGTGACACTTTTATAAAGTCCCCAGAGGTAGCTGGAATTATTTCTGGGCTATGACACTATATAGTTTTAGATTTTCTCTTCTCAGCTTGCCTGGACACAGTCAACAGCCTGGCTTGTAGAACATAGATACCGAAGCATCCCTTCCTCCTACCCCACCCCAGCATGTGGGGAGTCTGATTCAAGTTGGTTGGGGTGTGTCTGGAATCTATTTCTAATGAGCATCCCACGTGCTCACGTCTCAGCTGCTAAGACAAACCCTAGTTAAAGACATATCTGGGGACTGGGGTAAGGTTCAGTGGTAGAGTGCCTGCTCGGCACCTTCATGTGGCCTTGGGTTCCATCCCCAGCATTCAAATAATGGGCTAAACAAACAAAAAAAAAAGTGCAGTCCTCTTTAATTTCAGCTTTCTATGTTGAATACAGAAGTTAATACATTCACATGGTTCCAAACACAACAAGGAAAGGCTCTTCTCCCCCGTTTCCAGGTCCCCAAGTTGGCCATTATTACCAGTTTATCGTCCCCATTTAGTGACATTTTATACATAAACAAGCCCACCTTCTCCCTCCACACACTTCTCCAAAACTAAGTGGTAGCCCTGCATGCTCACTCTTCTATACCTTAAGAACAGATAGATTCGCCGGGTGCTGGTGGCTCACACCTGTAATCCTAGCTACTCAGGAGGCTGAGATCTGAGGATCTCGGTTCAAAGCCAGCCCAGGCAGGAAAGACCGTGAGACTCCTATCTCCAATAAACCACCAGAAAACCAGAAGTGGTGCTGTGGCTCAAGTGGTAGAGCGCTCACCTTGAGCTGAAGAGCTGAGGGACAGCACTCAGGCCCAGAGTTCAAGCCCCACGACCGACAAAAAAAAAAGAACAGATAGATTCAAGTTCAGCCATGGTGTCAGCCTAGAGACTTATGATGCTCCCTGGGCCTCAGTTTCCTCTACAATGCCATAATAGGAAGACCCTTAGTGGGTTATGGGGGCATCATGGGAGAGGAGACAGATGAAGCTGCCCACTGGGCTAGTACAGAGGAAGCACACAGCAACTGGAAACCCTGCCAGTGGCCTGGCCACTTCCTAGTGACAGGTATAGATGGGGCACCATGCACTGAGCCAGGCCACCATATTGGTTTAGGGAGCAGAGAGAACCTCACTATACCGTCAGTGAGCCTTGTAGAGCCTTTTCTATGCACCAGGCTTTACAAAAAACAGGATCCCATGCTTTCCCTGCTATCGCTTAACCTTGAGTGAACAGCTCCTTTGTGGCATTTTTATATTTTAGCATGTTTAGCAGTATTCTTGCTCTCCAGCCACTAAATACCCACTGCAGCCATGACCAACTGGGACAACCAAAGGTGTCTCCAGATATTACCAAATGTCCCTTGGGCACACACACACAGAAACACACCTGGTTTAAAAGTACTGCTTAATTTCATCCATTATACTAACCAACCACGATAACCAGAAGCCCTGAGGTAATTCATATTACAAGAGCTGATGCCTAGAGAACATAATGCCACCAAGGTTCCCAGCAACACAGGTCTGGGATTCACACCCGAGAAAGTTAGCTCCACAGTTTACACTCCTACTGATAGGCAAGCATTCCTCTTACCTCACAGGAATGCCAAGGAGAACATCATTCTGCAAAACTCTCCACAGTACCTGAATTCACAACCTTGACGCATTCTATTGTATTTGGTAACAGCATACCTGTGGAGTCCCCTCTGTCCCATTTTACAGATGGAAAACTGAGACCACTTGCTTAGGGCTTCACTGTAAATCAAGAGTTCTCACCAGGTGCTGTTGGCTCATACTACTTGGGAGGCTGAGATCTGAGGATCTATGGTTCAAAACCAGCCAGGTGCTGGTGACTCACAGCTATAATCCTAGTTACAGAGGAGGCTGATATCTGAAGATCTCAAAGCCAGACCAGGCAAGAATGTCTGTGAGACTCTTATCTCCAATCAACCACCAGAAAACAAAATGAATCTGTGGCTCAAAGTGATAGATTGCTAACCTTGAGCAAAAAGAGCCCAGGGACAGCGCACAGGCCCTGAGTTCAAGCCCCATGACAAACCAAACCAAAACAACAAACAAAACAGCTCAGGCAGGAAAGTCCATGAAAGACTTTTCCCCAATTAATCACAAAAAGCTGAAGTGGAGCTAATGGCTCAAGTGGTAGAGCTGCAGCCTGGAGCAAAAAAGCTCCAGGATAGCACCCAGGCCCTGAGTACAAACCCCAGTACCGGCTCACAGGAGCACGTGCACGCGCGCGTGCGCGCGCGCGCGCGCGCACACACACACACACAGGAGTTATCAGCCCCTAGGGAGCTTTATGAAAACCCAAGCCTCACCCCAGACAGATGGACATGGAATGTGAGCACTTGCAAATTTCAGAGCTTCCATAGAACTCCAAGGTTTTGAGCTGAGAAGGTGGGTCTAGCTTAAATCTTGGCCAATGAGATGCAGATTTGATCTGTTCTTGGATAGCTCAGAGATTAGAGACCTGGAGCAATCTACTCCACCCTGCCTGTGTCCTGGAAAACCCAGGTAGCTTCTACCTGCCATCTTTCTGAGCCAACCTACCCCTGCTCAGCATGGGCCCTGGGTTCAGGCCACCAGGCTGCTGCTTTATTCTTATGAGCTGCATCCAGTACAGGTCTTAGGATGAAGAGGTCCCCCTTCCCCTCCCCCGCAAGACTAGCCGAGGAGAGACGCACCTCACTAGCAAAGAATGACAGTGCTAGGACAAGTGAGGTACCATCCGAGGATGCCAAGGGCGTGCCCAGAGCTGCCCCACCGGTCTGAGCAGTTGGGTGACAAGGGCTCGAGATTTCTCCTTCGCCTTGGCACGCTCTGCAGGGGGTGAGGATGATGGTAGAGTGGACACCCAAGACACTGGATCTCTGCCCTTCCCCCAGTGCCTCATGCCCACCTCAGGAGGAGCTATGGCTGCACTCTCTCCACTGGACAGTTGTGCCAATGGAGGCCTAGGACCCACTGCCTCACTCAGGGCATTATGGGAGAGCAGACCACCTGACTCCACCTACTGCCTACCCTGGGAGGCACACTGTGCAAATGGGCAAATCTGGAGTGCACTGGTCTTCGGGGGACATCGATTTCAAGAGGAAGAACTAAGAAGGATCAGCTGGATCACAGGAGACAAGCCCTTTCTGGTCTTGCCCCCCACAAGACTTTGGGGATCTATGTTGTTCCAAGTTCCAGAGCTACCTAGGCCTCATCAGAGGTGGCAAGTGTGCCCACCTCCTCACCAGGCATCATTGTTCTTCCTCTGTCTTCTTAAACGTAGCCAAGGCTTCCTCCAGCACACCGTCAGGATCTAGGAGTTTGATCTGGAGGGAAGTGGCAGGGCTATCTTGAAGGGGATAGCCTACCTACAAACAGAACTTCCTCCCTCCCTTCCCTGGCGGGGTGGCAAGGCCGGGGGGAGGGGTGCTAGTTCTTTCTTCCTGGGGGTCCTTCAGGGCCCTGGGAAGCCACCCACCTCAGGAATGGGGAACTGGGTGGGCTCAGGAGCCTCTTCCCGGCCAAAGTCGATCATGGTGCCACACTTAGCCACATCATCCACCCAGAAGCCTTCGAACAGCTGGCCATGATCCAGGTGAAAGAAACGCCCAGGCCCATTCTTCATGCCTCTCTCCCAGAAGCCCTCGAAGCGGTTCCCATTCTCTGAGGAAAAGATAGGGACATAAGTGCTGGGCACACTAAACCAGCCGGGACTGACATGCTGGGCATCTACCAGGTCTCCTTTGTGTGCTAGCTGGTGAGATGGTCCTTGCTTGTAAGGCCTGTCCTTGTCAGTCTCCACTGGAAACATAAACCTCATCCAATCTCCCCATCACCCCAGAAGCCAAGTTTTTTTCTTTTCTTTTTTTGTCAGTCATGGGGCTTGAACTCTGGGCTTGGGCGCTGTCCCTGAGCTCTTCAGCTCAAGGCCAGCGCTCTACCGCTTGAGCCACAGTGCCACTTCTGGTTTTCTAGTGGTTTATTGGAGATAAGAGTCTCATGGACTTACCTGCACAGGCTGGCTTTGAACCTCGATCCTCAAGTCTCAGCCTCCTGAGTAGCTAGGATTACAGGTGTGAGCCACCGGCGCCCGGCTCATTTCATTTTATCGTGGGTCCTTGAGCCTGCCAGGCAAGTGTTCTACCACTAAGCCACACTCCCAGCGCCCCCCCCCCAGCTCCTCTTTCTTCAAAAGTCACCTCCTCAAGGAGGCATTCTTTGATTTCTCTGACCTTAGTCAGTGGACCCTACCTCCAACTCCTTTATTATACTTTTCTGTTTTCTAGCAATTCTATAGCTTTTTCTTTTTTAAGACAGGCCCACATTCATGCCTCTACCTTTCTTGTGTAGGGATTATCAGCATGTACTATTGAAGCAGGACTCCTTGGAATTTTTTGACCATGTCTGAGAGCCTGGATGACGTTGTTTTCCTGTGCCTCAGACAGTACAATCATGATGATGAAAACATCGGATTTCTAGGATTGTTGTAGCTTGACTAGGGTCGGTGTGATGGCTATTAGGACTGTAAGAAATTCTTCTGTTTTTGTTTCTTGTCAGTCATGGGGCTTGAACTCCTGGGGCCTGAGTGCTGTGCCTGATCTTATTGCTCAAGGCTAGCACTCTACTTCTTTGAACCACAGACCACTTCTGGTGTCTGGTTTTCTGGTGGTTCATTGGAGATAAATCTCACAGAGACTTTTCTGCCTGAGCTGGCTTTGAACCGAGATCCTCAGATCTCAGCCTCCTGAGTAGCTAGGATGACAGGCTTGAGCCACCAGCGCCCTGCTTGATTAGAGCATTTTTACTGCTCATGGAGAATGGCTGCACCATAGCCATGCCTGCCAACAAGTGTGGTCTCCAGAGGCGTGGGGGAGGTGGGGAGCGGGCTAACAGAGGAGCTGGGATGGGCGGGGCGATCAGGGATAGAGGGCATGGCCTGCAGAAGGGGTGGGCGTGGCCTTCTGGTGGGCGGGGCACTTACTGTGTCGCAGCATGCCCTCCCCTTCGTGCTTGTCCTTGCTCCACTGGCCCTCGTAGATGTCGCCGTTGCCGTAGTACATGCGGCCCCACCCGCTGCGCTGGTTGTCACACCACTCACCCTCATAGTACTCATTGGGGCCAAAAAACTGAATTCCATAGCCCTGAAAAGCACGAAGGCGCCCTGTTCAGGGCCTCCTGCACCCCCAGGAGGGCCGATCTCCCCGGGCTCCGCCCCACTTCACCCCCAACCCCCCACCCTCCTGAGCCTCCATCTGCCCTCCATCTGCACCATCCGTCTGCTACAGCCCCCATCCAGGGTGTGTGTGTGTGTGTGTGTGGTGCACTGGGGCTTAAACTCAGGGCATCTAAGTTTGCTGAGCAACTTGCTCTACCACTTGAGCTATGCCCCCAACCCTTTTTGACTTTATTTTTCCTACAGAATCTGCATTTCTGCCAGAGGCTAGACACAGACTGACATCCTTCCCTCTACCTATGCTTCCCAAGTCGTAGGGATTACAAGCATTGATGGTACCTGGCTCAGAAGGCTCTTTTGTTGGTGGTGGTGGTGGTCGTGGATCTTGAACTCTGGGCCTGGGCACCGTCCTTGAGCTCTTCAGCTCAAGGCTAGTGCTCTACCACTTGAGCCACAGCACCACTTCCAGCTTTTTCTGTTTATGTGGTGCTGAGGAATCAAACCCAGGGCCTCAGGCATGCAAAGCAAGCACTCTACCACTGAGCCACCTTCCAGCCCCTCAGAAGGATCTTTAATGGCTCCAGTGGTCACATTTGCCTCTGACACATATCTAACTCTGATTTGACCCTGCTGTGGTCATGTTGTCTCTGAGTTCCCACACTGGGTGACCATCACCGGGAATCAGGGACTGCTGAAGATCACACCTCTGGCAGGATCAGTTTAGGAGCCCTAATCTACTCCTCAATATCCTGACCCCCAACTGAGTCCCGAAGCCCCCACTACTTTCCTCCTTCCATCCTTCCCTCCCTCCAAACAGCATTTTGCTGTTCAGCTGCTTGATATCTCATTGCTATTTGCCACCAATCCTCCTTTTACTATTTCTCCCTGGCTAACTCCTAGGATATTTTAGGGTCACTTCCTACAGGAAGCCAGCCCTATAATCTTTAGGCTGTCCTTAATGACATTTCTTTGGATACTACGGGAAAACTACTATCGTAATAACACATTATATTAGTGTGGGATCAATTTTCCCACTGGCTGATAAATAATTTGGCAGCAAAACACAAGAAATCTTGGGCTCAGCTGCATGCCAGCTGGGTGACTCCAGGGCAAGTACTTCATCTCTGAGAGCTTGCTTTTATAGCCATAAAATGGGACAGGGATGATGCTAAATTGTTGTAAAAGTTAATTCAAGTATCACATGCGCATTCTGGGCACACAACAGAAACTGCTCAGAAGCAATACAGTTATTCTTCTCAGTCTGGGTGGACAAGGGTAAGGCTTCATCCAAGTGGGTAAGAGTAACTTGAGGGGATCTTTGCTTAACATAGGTGTTTGGGGACTAGGACCTGCCTCTGGCTGGCTTCAACTCTCTCCCTTCCTCTCTTGTTCTTTTTTTTTTTTTTTTGAGTCCGGTTGTGGGGCCTGAACTCTGGGCCTGGGCGCTGTCCCTCAGCTCTTCAGCTCAAGGCTAGAGCTCTACCACTTGAGCCACAGCACCACTTCTGGCTTTTTTCTTTTATCTTATGTGGTGCTGAGGAATCGAACCCAGGGCTTCAGGCATGCAAGGCAAGCGCTCTGCCACTGAGCCACCTTCCCAGCCCAGGATTTTGGTTTTTAAATTTTTAATTTTTTTTTTGGGGGGGAGGGACAGGGTCATGCTATATAGCCCAGGCTGGCCTGGAACTCACCCTTCTTGGTTTTCCCAGTGTTAGGATTATAAACTCTGCCAACCATGCCTGGCTACTTTCCCATTTACCCAATAGAAGGTGGGGTGGGGATGGGGGGTGCTTCTGGGAAAAGAAAGCCAGGAAATGAGGGAAGAGGGTGGAGGAGAACTCACTCCACAGCCTGCTGCCTTCTTGTGGCCATAGGTTACACGGGCTCCTCCCTGGGCCCCACTACTCTTGCTTCTTATTTCCTTGGTTTTGTTCTGAGAAGCCTTGACAATTCCTCCACCCTTCCTTTCCAACCTACCCCTAGGAGCTGGGCCTTCTAACACACATATGAATGTCTCCCTTACACACATTTAACATGGATGTACATTCTCTCTCTCTCTCTCTCTCTCTCTCTCTCTCTCCTTTTCTTGCTCCCTCCCTCCCTCCCTCCCTTCCTCCAGCAGAAACAGGCTGTCAACCCTGCCCCTGGAAGGGCATGCTGGGAAGAACTCACCGATTTCTTACCACCTATCCACCAACCACAGTAGACTCTCTTGTACTTTCCTGTCTCTGGATCTGGAAGGCTGAGGGTGCCATAGCCATTTCTCTTCCCCAATTTCCAGTCCCCTTCGTAGATGGCTCCATTCTTCTTCCAGACCTGTGTTCCTTTCCCTGGTGACACACAGAGGTGAGCCAACACCTCAGACACAGTCAGTTTAGGCTGGAGGCCAAGTTCCTGCCCAGGCCTCAGGGACCCCCTACAGGGGGTCTGAGCTCCATCTTTAGGAGCATTCCATAAAGAGCAATTTTCCAACCCACTGCCCTAAAGCCTGATATCAATTAGAAATCACCAAAAACACCACCCAGTAATCCTAACTACTCAGAAGGCTGACATCTGAAAATTGCAATTTTTTTTTTCTTTTTGCTCGTGGGGCCTGAATTCTGGGCCTGGGCGCTCTCAGTTCTTTTTTTTTTGGGTGGGTGGGGCGCGTTGGTCGTGGGGCTTGAACTCTGGGCTTGGGCACTATCCCTGCGCTCTTCAGCTCAAGGCCAGCGCTCTACCGCTTGAGCCACAGTGCCACTTCCGGTTTTCGAGTGGTTTATTGGAGATAAGAGTCTCAGGACTTTCCTGCACAGGCTGGCTTTGAACCTTGATCCTCAAGTCTCAGCTCCTGAGTAGCTAGGATTACAGGCCTGAGCCACCGGTGCCCAGCTTCATGTTCCTCAGTTCTTTAACTCAAGGCTAGAGCTCTTCCACTTGAGCCACAACACCACTTCTGGCTTTTTCTGCTTAGGTGGTGCTGAGGAATCGAACCCAGGGCCTCATGCATATAAGGCAAGCACTCTACCACTGAGCCACCTTCCCAGCCCCTGAGGATTGCAATTTGAAGCCAGTCCTGGCTAGAAAGTTTTAGAGACTTTCTAATTATCTCCAATTTTGAATTATCCAATTTTCTTAATTATCTCCAATTAAGCAACAACTACAAAAAAAAGCCAGAAGTGTAGCTGTGGTTCAAGTAGTAGAGTTCTAGCCTTGAGCAACAAATCTCAGGGGAAGGCCTGAGTTTAAGTTCCAAGACCAACATACATACACACACACACATACGTGTGTGTGTATATATATATATATATATATATATATACATACATACATACATATATATGTGTGTGTGTATGTATGTATATAGCTGGTGCCAGTGGCTCAAGCCTGTAATCCTAGCTACTCAGGAGGCTGAGATCTGAGGATCGCAGTTCAAAGCCAGCCCAGGCAGGAAAGTTCAAGACACTTATCTCCAATTAACCACAAAAAAAGAGAAGTGGAGCTGTGGGGAAAAGCTCAGGGACAGCGCCCAGGGCCTGAGTTCAAGCTCCACAACCCACAGAAAATAAGTCATTTCTTCTCCCTATGGCAACACTGAGAAAGGCATCACCACTGCCTCCAGCATTTTTTTGCACATCTGTAGAAACGGAATCTTGACCCTGGTTAGATAGGAGAGCATGTGACTGGGCTGGCTAGTCCGAGTCTTTTTCTTGGGAGACTGATGGATTGACTGATTGATTTGCAGTTCCAGGGAGGGGATCAAACTAGGGCCTCGAATGTATGTGCCAGACAAGCACTCTAGCACTGAGCTATAACCCCAGCTCTTGGATTTTTGTTGGGGCTTGAATTGTGGGCCTGGGCGCTGTCCCTCAGCTCTTTAGCTCAAAATGAGCACTCTACCACGTTAGCCACAGAGGCATTTCCGGTTTTCTGGTAGCTAATTGGAGATAAGAGTCTCATGGACTTTCCTGCCTGGGCTGGCTCTGAACTGTGATCCCCAGATCTCAGCCTCTAGGATGACAGCCATGAGCCACGAGTACCTGGCTTGGATTTTTAAAAAGTAAAGCCAGGCGGGGCTAGGAAGGTGGCTCAGTGGTAGAATGTTTTCTTTGCATGCATGAGGCCCTGGGTTCAATTCCCCAGCACCACATAAGCAGAAAAAAGCCAGAAGTGGTGCTGTGGCTCAAGGAGTAGAGCGCTAGTCTTGAGCTGAAGAGCTGAGGGACAGTGCCCAGGCCCAGAGTTCAAGACCCAGGACCAGCAAAAAAAAAAAAAGTAGAGCCAAGTGCTTGTGTCCCATTTCTTGGGGGGAGAAGGGGCATTTAAGCTTCCAATTAGCTCTGGGACCCTGCTTCTCTGGCCCTGTCACTAATGGCTCCAGCCCCTCACTGGCTGCCTCCTACTCCATCTGACCTCCAGCCCTGCTCACCATGTTTTTGGTTGTCCTTCCACTCGCCCACATAATAATCTCCATTCACAGCATACACCTTGTGCCGCGGTCCATTCCTAAGAGTCTTCTGGTCCCATTCCTTCCACAGTGGCTCTGACTTTTTTGGACATTTGGTGACTGGCATGTTGGCTGTTTCTGTGGGGCCAGAGGGTGCTGGCAGAAAGGTAAGAACATGAGGAGCTGAGTGTATCCCATGAAATGCTGGGATCCTGTGGGCTTCATGGAGAGGTGGCTGGGTTCAAGTGGGGTAAGTCCTGTGGGTGAGTCATGCATGTTCTGAGTCCCTGGGCCAGATGATCAGCCCTGGGTGGGAATCCTTTTGTGCTGGACTGATGATGATGATGACCCTGGCCTGGCCCTATCCTTGCCTGTTCCTGGGGCCTCTGTGCCAGGGGTCTGATGGCACAATTGCTTAGGAACCCGGGGAGACCAGAAGGAACCCAGGGTTTATGATGGCATTGGGGAGAAGCTGGTTCCATAGGTTTCATGTTGGCTGTCTAGAATGAATGATAAATCTAGGGGCTGGCTCCAAGTTTGGAAGAGCTCAGGGAGAAGGACTGGGGGTTGAGTGGGGGTATGGCCCTGTCTGTCTAAGGGCTGCCTTGTGCTGTGGCCTGCTTGGGCCTACCTCACCTGTCCAGTGATAAAGCTTAGAGACTGCCTTGGGGAGCGGGGGGGTATTATAGCTAGTGAGAGACCCTACCTTTTTTTTTTTTTTTGATCCTGGGGCTTGAACTCTAGGTCTGGGCACTGTCCTTGACCTTTTCCCTCAAGGCTAGTTAGTACTCTACCACCTCCGTTTCTGGTTTTCTGGTGGTTCATTGGAGAAAAGGGTCTCATGAACTTTCTTGCAGGACTTGCTTCGAACCACAATCCTCTGATCTCAGCCTCTTGAGTAGCTAGGATTACAGGTATGAGCCAACAGCGCCCAGCTTGAGCCCACCAACTAAAGAGACTGCCTCAAGGGTAATTAGCAGTCCTGGTTCTCCAGGACTGACTGCAGGGTTTTCTAGGACCTCAGATGCTCAATGCGAAACTGAAGCAGTCCAGGAAGACTGTGACTGTTAGTCATACTTCTTCCTGTCCCTGGTTTGGTTTCTCCACTGGATCTGGCTTTCCTGCCTGTGGGACTGCAGAGGCATGCAGGGTGATTCAGGATTTCCCCCCAGTGTCTGCATTCATTGACCCCCAGACCTCCTGTGCACACCTTCATGTCCATCTGTGTGTCTTCATGGAGTGACAACAGTCCTCTCCAAATCCTGGGTATCCTGTTCCCCCCTACTCTCCACTCAAGATATATAACTTTTAGCTAGGCACCAGTGGCTCACGTCTGTAATCCTAGCTACTCATGAGGCTGAGGTCTGAGGATCATGATTCAAAGCCAGCCCTGGGAGAAAAGTCTGTAAGACTCTTTTTTTGGGGGGGGCCCTGTCATGGGGCCTGAACTCTGGGCCTGGGCGCTGTCCCTCAGCTCTTCAGCTCAAGGCAAGCGCTCCACCACTGAGCCACCTTCCCAGCCACTGTAAGACTCTTATCTCTAATTAACCACCAGAAAACTGAAAATGGCACTGTGGCTCAAGTGATAGAATGCTAGTCTTGAGCTGAAGAGCTGAGGGACAGTGCTCAGGCCCAGAATCAAGCCTCACCACTGACAAAAAATAAACAATAAAACATTTATTTATTTGTTGTTGATTTTTCTTTTTTTGTCGGTCGTGGGCCTGAACTCTGGGCCTGGACACTGTCCCTCAGCTCTTCAGCTCAAAGTTAGTGGTACTACCACTTGAGCTACAGCCCCTTTTTTTTTTTTTTTTTTTATTGTCAGTGGAGAGGCTTGAACTCATGGGCTGGGCCTTGTCCCTGAGCACTTTTGCCAAAGCTAGTGCTCTACCCCTTTGAGCCACAGCTCTACTTCTGATTTTTGAGTGGTTAATTGGAGATAAGAGTCACAGGGGGCTGGGAATGTGGCTTAGTGGTAGAGTGCTTGCCTAGCATGCATAAAGCCCTGGGTTTGATTCCTCAGTACCACATAAACAGGAAAAGTCCAAAAGAGACACTATGGCTCAAGTGGTAAAGTGCCATCCTTGAGGAAAAGATCAGGGTCAGTGCCCAGGCCCTGATTTCAAGCCCCAGAACTGGAAATGAATGAATGAATGAATTTGCAGTCTCTGTTCAGGTCAGCATCTGCAAAGTCCCAGCGTCATTTAAAAAAAGTTACCAGGGCCCAGGACCGACAAAAAAAAAAAAAAAAAAAGTTATCAGTCTGAAATCTCTTAACAATTTCACTTTGGCCAGTCCTGGCTGCTTGAACACGGCCTGGGCACTGTCCCTGAGCGTTTTTTTGCTTTACCACTGGCGCACCACTTCCGGCTTTCTCTGTTCGTGTGATGTGAGGAATCGAACCCAGGGCCTACATGCATGTGAGGCGAGCACTCTACCACCGAGTCACCTTCCCAGCCCCGAGACTGCAAACTTTCTATGATGTCACCGCTGCGCCTAGGTTCTATCCGAGAGGAGGTTGCATCACTAGTCTAGGTACAAGAACAAAAAAACAAGCAAACACAACAAAACCCCACCAAAGACAGGCGATGCTGCCCGTCTAAACAAGGAGGAGCACGGTGTCAGGGTGCGGTCGGCGCCCGGCTCCCGGCTCCCGCGTGCCCGCGCTCACCTCTAGTCGCCTGGAGCTCAGACCGACGTTCACAGGCGCCGCGTCCCGCCCGGCCGGGGTCGCCATGGTAACGCGCCGCCACCGCCCCTCCAGCCCGCGGCGCCCGCCCCTTCCTGCGCAGAGCCCCTGGCGGGAAATTTCCCGGAGGAGCCGTCGTCACCTGGGCGCGGAGGTCTGGTAGGGACCTCCGCCCTCGGGGGGCGCTTGAGCCGAGGAATTCCGCCCCCGTGTCCTCCAGGTCTCCTGGGCAGCTCCTCTCCCCCCTCACCATTGCACAATTCAGGTAATACCTTTCTCTTTGGACCATGTCACCCCTTCCTTTGCTCTCCCTCAGTTTCCCCCCCAAATCACCCTTCCTTTGCTCTCCCTGTTCCCCCCCCCCCTTCCAGTTCTTTGCTGGCTAATTAGAGATACAAGTCTCACGGACTTCAAACCAGGATCCTCAGCTCTCAGCCTCCTGTGTAGTCAGGATTACAAGCATGAGCCACTGGCCTCTAGACTGCTCCCCACATTGATTACATCAGGTGTGATGAATTCGTGTCCACCCCCATCTTCATGTATCCATCACCTTTCTGGATCTGCCTTCGACTTTCTCATGCTCACTGTGGAGAATGAGTCACCCTTTATGTCACTGGAGTTCCCGACTCTCGCAGGAGTCTGCCCTCTCTAGGCTCTGAAGTCCTCCTCTGGCCAGTCCACCTCTGCTGTTGACATTGGTTTTCCCAGGATATTTTCCTCTTCCCCTCAGGCACCTGGCCAGCAGCCTCAGTCAGCCTTTACCCTGGTACAGACTGTCCCCTGGCCCCGTCCAGAGTCACCCTGCCACCTGCTGAGTGGCGTCTTGTGGTCTAGAACCTCATTCTCCCTAGGCCTAGCTGTGCACCAACCCCAAGCCCCAGTTCCTCACTGCAAGTAGCAATTTTCCAGGCCCTCATCAGATCCTGGCCCAAGAGAAACCAAGACAGAATGTAGGCAGTGGCTTATCTGTTTATCTGCTGCTCATTGGCAGCTGGCAATGAGATACAAGCCTATGGCATTCTTCTCTCCCTAGGATCAGTCTTGTGAAATTTTTCACAAGCCTTTGAATAGGTGTCTTTGGCCTGGCTACTCCCCAGCACATCACCTTTGGGAGTGTGTGTGTGCTCCAAGTAATCTTCTAATAGTCATCTGGAGGATCGATCAGATTTTCATCCCTTTTCCCACTTTGGGTTGAAGGGAATTCCTCTGTGGGGTGACCAGGACTCCTCCACAGGCCTGCTTACAAATGGGGGGAGTGTGATCCTGTCCACATTTTCTGGCCCCAAACGTTGGCTCCACCTGGGCAAAGAATCCCAGCACTATCTCCAATGCCTGCGGAATTGTCCATCCATACAGGAATTCATCCACAGAGCACAGTCTAGAATAAATCCAGTGGTCTAGACTTATAATCATAGCTACTCAGGAGGGTGAGACCTGAGGATCCCAGTTTGAACCCAGCCTGGGCAGGGGAATCCTATGACACTTGTATCTTCAATGAACCAGCAAAGATCCAGAAGTGAAGCTGTGACTCAATTGGTAGATTGGTAGAGATGCAGCCTTGAAGGAAGAAAAAAACAAAAAAAAAGTTAAGGGATAGCATCCAGGCTCTGAGTTTAAGCCCCAATACTGGCACAGAAAAATAAAGTAAAATTAAGTGAAATTTAAAAACCAAGAATGGAGCCACCTGGAGCATAGCAGCCTGGGTCTCCATCTTCTAGAAGTGCCTAAAGAATCCACCTGTCGGGCTGGGAAGGTGGCTCAGTGGTAGAGCGCTTGCCTTGCATGCCTGAGGCCCTGGGTTCGATTCCTCAGTACCACATAAGCAAAAAGAAGAAAGCCGGAAGTGGTGCTGTGACTCAAGTGGTAGAGCGCTAGCCTTGAGCTGAAGAGCTGAGGGACAGCGCCCAGGCCCAGAGTTCAGGCCCCACGACCGGACCAAAAAAAAAAAAAAAAGAATCCACCTGTCTGAAACAGCAAGTCTCCATTGCAGACAATTGACAAAGGTGGACACAGCCCAAGTATCCATCATCAGATGAATGAGTGAACAAAACAGTCTCTGTGCTCAATGGGATATTATTTGGCAACAAAAAGGAATGAATTATTGATACATGCATGTTTCAACATGGGTAAACTTTTTTTTTTTGGGGGGGGGGTTTGAGGCTTGAACTCCGGGCCTGGACACTGTCCCTGAGCCTCTCTATGCTCAAGGCTAGTGCTCTATCACTTGAGGCCACTTCCAGTTTTTTTTCTGAGTAGTTTATGGGAGTTAAGAGTCTCACGGACTTTCCTGCCCAGGCTGGCTTCAAACTGTGGTCCTCAGATCTCACTCTCTCAAGTAGCTAGAATTACAGGCTTGAGCTACTGGCACCCAGCAACATGCATAAAGTTTGAAACAAGCCAGACAAAAAGGCCACTAATCATATGATTCCACATATATG